CTCCCGGTTCGAGCAATTCTCCTTCCTCAGCCTCCTGAGTGACTGGGATTACGGACACCCACCAAAATGCCTGGCTAATTTTTGTATTTTTTAGTAGAGACAGGGTTTCGCCATATTGGCCAGGCTGATCTTAAACTGCTGACCTCAGGTGATCTGCCCACTTCGGCCTCTCAAAGTGCTGGGATTACAGGTGTGAGCCACCATGCCCGGCCTGCCATTTACATTTTTCATAGCATGTTTATGTTCACCAAAGAGCTGTCTCTTAATAGGCAGTTAATTCTGCTTTTTAAGTGTCCTCTGGCCAGGCGCGGTGGCTCATGCCTGTAATCCCAGCACTTTGGAAGGCCGATCATTTGAGGTCAGGTGTTTGAGTCCAGCCTAGCCAACATGGAGAAACCCTGTCTTTACTAAAAGTACAAAAATTAGCTGGGCGTGGTGGCAGGTGCCTGTAATCCCAGCTACTTGGGAGGCTGAGGCAGGAGAATTGCTTGAACTTGGGAGGCAGAGGTTGCAGTGAGCTGAGATTGCATTCCAGTCTGGGCGACAAGAGCAAGACTCCATCTCAAAAAAAAAAAAAAAAAAAAAAAAGGTGTCCTCTTTTTTTTTTTTTACCAAAAATCAAAATCTTTTTGATAAATGCAAGTATATAAAATCAGGACACAAACATGATTTGCTCAGTTCAGTGAACTTAATTTTAAGATATACATCAATTCAAATTCTCAACTGTGTCACATCCATAAGTGTTATTTTAAGGGCATTGGCAGTCTCAATACTGATCCATCTGGCACAAGTAAACCATGCTTTTCTTAAAAGGCATGTACACTCGCCCAGGCACAAGGATGTTACAGTCGAGCACATTTACACGAATAGAAATACGCAGAGCACCTTCTTGTAGCTTTGCTGTATTCCCCTCTGTCCTTCTGTCACTGTCCTAGGAGAGCAGTGAACTCACTTAGTTTCAGTGTCTCTCCATTCCCGGAAGTTGGTGGCCAAGTCACCCTAAAAAATGGCAACTTGATAACTTTCCAGAACTTTCAGCTATCTTATCTCCTTTCCTTCTTAGGGCTATTATTAAGGAGTAAGCTGGAGAAGTGCAGGCCCTGTAGTTTTCTATGATAGTTGGGTCCATTTGTTGCTGCACCCCAAGAGGGCTGATTAATGGTGACAATATCAGCAGGAAGAGGGTGGGACATGGGACTCTGTCCTTGAGTTGGGTTCAACTCAACCTTTTTTTTTTAATCAACTACTAGAAAATGTCCTGGAATGCAGATTTATCAACCTCTTAGAAGACAAGGCTAGGGGGTGTCACTTCTTAGAATGTTAAAATTCAAAATTATTTTTTAAATCTTTAAAAGTATAAAATTTTACCCTTAAGCCAGGCGCAGCAGCTCATGCCTGTAATCCCAGCACTTTTAGGGACGCCAAAGTGGGTGGATCACCTGAGGTTGGGAGTTTGAGACCAGCCTGACCAACATGGAGAAACCCCATCTCTACTAAAAGTACAAAAATTAGCTGGGCGTGGTGGTGCATGCCTGTAATCCCAGCTACTTGGGAGGCTGAGGCAGGAGAATTGCTTGAACCCAGAAAGCAGAGGTCGCAGTGAGCCAAGATCATGCCATTGCACTCCAGCTTGGGCAAGAAGAGTGAAACTCCGTCTCAAAAGAAAAAAAAAAAAACACACATTTTACCCTGAAATCCCAAACATTAGGGATTTACTGGACAGGACTCAGCACTCCTAAGCTGATAAAACTTCACATAACACTGTCCTTGCCCCCAAGCTTGGCACAAACTCCAGCTCCTAGAGCAATTTTCCCCGGCTCTCTTCACCTGGATAGTCACTACTTTTCCTTCCAGTCCCAATTTAGAGGCCATCTCCTCTGGGAAGCCATCCTGACCTCACAGGTTTGCTTCTAGTTGCTCAAGTCAAAAAGCCTGGAGTCATTCTTGAATCCTGGTCTTTCACACAGAAAATTCTATCTATCAAGAATCATGCCGGCTCTATCTCCAAAGTGTCACTTTCCAGTATATAGTATAACTGTATGTATTCTTTTTAAATGTCTAATTGGATTATTTATGGTTTTATTTACTGTGCTTATTTGTATGTATTTATTGTCTGTTTCCCCCAATAAAATGTGTCTCAGGAGAGACAGAACTTCGATCTGTTTCCTGATGCTTCCCCGAATCTCCAGCAGTCCTTAAGACATGGTAGAAACCTAATAAGTATTTACTTTTATAAATGAGTGGATAAATGTTTGGTACTCCTATATCATCCTGAATTCTCTCATCATAAGACTTTGTATCCTGTGGTATAATCGACAGAGGTTAATTTCTACATAAAAACCTATCTTTTAATTACACCTTTGCCCATGAATAAATTCCAGTTGTCATGTAATGGTTTGGTGGTTTGACCATTTCACTAGACTGCAAACCACATAGAGCTCAGAGTGCACGGAGCGTCAGACACTCATCTGTGTTTTATAGGCACTCATTCATCTAATCCTCACAACTACTCAATGAGGTGGGTACTACTGTTATCTCTACTTTATAGATAAGGAAATTGAGGCCCTGAAAAATGAGGAAGTGTATACAGTGGCACATAGCAAGGGATGGATCTTGGATTCTGACCCAGGAAATCTGGCACCACAGTTCAGTTGTTTTTTGTTGTTGTTGTTGTTGTTTTTTGAGACAGAGTTTTGCTTTTGTTGCCCAGGCTGGAGTACAATGCTGCAATCTCAGCTCACTGCAGCCTTTGCCTCCCAGGTTCAAACAATTCTCCTGCCACAGCCTCCCAAGTAGCTGGGATTGGGATTACAGGCATGCGCCACCAAGCCCAGCTAATTTTTTATTTTTAGTAGAGATGGAGTTTCTCCAAGTTGGTCAGGCTGGTCTTGAACTCCCAACCTCAGGTGATCCACCTGCCTTGGCCTCCCAAAGTGCTGGGATTACAGGCATGGGCCACCATGCCCGGCCCCAGAGCTCAACTTCTAAACTACTATGCTGAGCTGCCTCATCTTCACAGGATATTCAATAAAAAGTGTTTAATAAATAAATCCATGAAATATGGCTGCCAAAAGAGGAGAATGCATTCTTAAGCTGCATTAATAAAGTGTCAAGATAAAAGAGGTTGTTATAAGCCATATATATAATTTTAAATTTTCTAGTAAACACCTTAAAAATGTAAAAGGGAACCAGTGAAATTAATGTTAATAATATATTTTATTTATCCCAGTTTCTCCAGCATAGGGTACAGGTCAGCTCAGTTTACAATGACTCCTTTGCAGAAAGACTTCAGTCAACTGAATTGGGTCAGAAGACTTAAGCCACAAAGGCAATGAGTCTGGAATTTATGAAATGTCAGTGAAACTTCTCAGCCTTTGAAGAGTTCGGGTGGGGATTGAGGATCTCCCTTCAAATCCAGGGATTTCTGTGGGAAGAGGGGTCCCCTGGTGTGGTGGGGCCTGAGGGCACAGCTGAGGGGTGAGAGTTAAGTCCTAGAAAGGCAAATTTCACTTCCCTCTAAGAAGGAACCAGTAGTTAGAAATTCTCAAAATTTCAAAACCCAAGGGCCCATCAACAGATGAATGAATAAGCACAGTGTATTCTATACCTAAAATGAAATCTTATTCAGCCTTAAAAAGGAATGAAATTCTGACTTATGTTACAACATGGATGAAAGTTGAAAACATGATGCTAAGTGAAATAAGCCAAAGACAAATTGTGTGATTGCATTTACATGAGGTACCTAGAAGAGTCATATTCATAGAGACAGAAAGTAGAATGGGGGCTGGGCACAGTGGCTCACACCTGTAATCCCAGCACTCTGGGAGGCTGAGGCAGGCGGATCACCTGGGATCAGGAGTTTGAGACCAGCCTGACCAAAATGGAGAAACCCCATTTCTACTGAAAATACAACATTCGCTGAACATGGTGGTGATACCCGCAGATGTTGCAGAGAGCCGAGATCACGCCATTGCACTTCAGCCTGGGCAACAAGAGCGAAACTCTGTCTCAAAAAAAAAGAAAGAAAGAAAATAGAGTGGGGGTCTCCAGGGGCTGAGAGAGTGGGAGAATGGGGAGTTAGTGTTAATGGGTGCAGTTTTAGTCTGGAGATGAAAATGTTCTAAAGATGGATGGATGATGGTGGTGGTTACATAGCAACATGTATGTACTTAATGCTGCTCAACTGTACATTTAAGAATTATTAGATTGGTAAACTTTATGTTGTATTTTGCTACAATAAAAATTTAAAAATTATATTTTTAACCCATTTACGCATGAGCTTATGCAATGTTTCGAATTTCTGCACTCACACCTTGGCCATGACCTTGAGCAGTATAATATAAATAAGTCCCACATGCTTAGTGTTCCAATCATGGAACACTAGTCCTTAATGGGTTAATAAAAAGTAGACAAACAAATGAGCCTCTGCCCTGTGAGACAATGGCACCAAATGAGCTGAGGCAGAGGTTAAAGAAAACGTAGGGACACCCTTGAATTTGGGTAGAAGTTAGGTGGGCTGGCCCTTAAGGCCCCTTCTAATTTTTGAGTTTTTAATTGTCTTTTGAACATTTGTTGAGCACTCAGTATGTCAGTAGTACGTTAAGCATGAACTATCTCATTAACATTTCACCATCCCGAGACATCGCTATCGTAGTCCTCATTTTACAAACAAGGAAACCCAGGCTTAGAGTTCTCAGGCAATTTGCTAAAGGCCTGCCAAATTCTAAGTATAAGGAAGAAGGACAGAAACTCCAGGGACAGCACCAAGCTACAGGTCATGGGCTTTACTGATGGGGAAACCCAGAGGGTTCCGTGACTTACACAAGACCATGCAGAGCCAGGATCAGGGCTCAGGTCCTTCCTGCTGTCTGGGGCTCCTCAATGACTTCATGCTCCCTCCTCACTCTTTCCACCTCTGGTCTGGGCATGAAATGCTTTATGTGGGCATACTATTTGGTCACAGAAGGCTCTAACTGTCCTCAGAAAGGCACATGCCCAGCCTCTGACAACATTGCTGGGCCAGGATGTCTGATGAGAGACATAAAGATTGGGCCCATGTTGGCGGCACCATCACTGTCATTTCAGAGTCCATTTTCCTGGTTAACCAAGTAAGTTACCTTGTTATTTCCATCACAGTTTCCCAAGTCAAAACCTCAGTGCTCCCTCATTGAAAAGGCAGTTGTGGCTGGGTACGGTGGCTCACACCTGTAATCCCAGCATTTTGGAAGGCCGAGGTGGGTGAATTACCTGAGGTCAGGTGTTGGACACCAGCCTGACCAACATGGAGAAGCCCTGTCTCTACTAAAAATAAAAAAATTACCCGGACGTGGTGGTGCATGCCTGTAGTCCCAGCTACTCAGGAGGCTGAGGCAGGAGAATCACTTGGACCTGGAAGGCGGGGGTTGCGGTGAGCCCAGATGCATCACTGCACTCTACTGTGGGCAACAAGAGAAAAACTCTGTCTCAAAAAAAATCATAAATAAAAGGCAATTGTGAATGATGGATTGAGAACACAAGCTCTTCCATAAACCCAGTGCCCATTTTAAGTTGATAAGAACTTGCTGAGCACCGCACTTTGTGTTTGATATGGTCTGCTGGTGGTTTGAAGCAGTCTAGGCAGTAGAAACAGAAGGCAAGCCGCATTATGTAATATTACACTTTCCAGTAGCCACCTTAAGCAATGCAAAAAGAAACAGGTGAAATCTTTAATGTTAATATTTTCTTTAACCCAATTTATCCAAAATAATTACTGATGAGATTTTTGCATTCTTCTTTTATGCTGCCTTTGAAATCAGTATATATATACATACATATATATATATGAGACAGAGACTCCCTCTGTCACCAGGCTGGAGTACAGTGGCATGATCTCGGCTCACTGCAACCTCCACCTCGAAGATTCAAAGCCCCTGGTTCAAGCAATTCTCTGGCCTCACCCTCCCAAGTAGCTGGGACTACAGGCACACCACCATGACCGACTAATTTTTATATTTTTAGTAGAGACAGGGTTTCACCATGTTGGCCAGGAGGGTCTCAAATCTCCTGACCTCATGATCCACCCAACTTGGCCTCCCAAAGTGCTGGTATTAAAGGTGTGAGCCATCGTGTCCAGCTGAAATCAGCATATGTATTTTATATATAGTTACATCACATCTCAATTCACCCTAGCCATATTTCGAGTGCTTAGCAGCTACATGGAGCCAGTGACTACCATACTAAACAGTGCAGGTCTAGGCTTTTTTTTTTTTTTTTTGACACAGGGTCTCTCTCACTCTGTTGCCCAGGCTGGAGTGCAGAGTGATGCAATCCTGGCTCACTGCAGCCTCCACCTCCTGGACTTAATCCTCCCACCTCAGCCTCCCAGGTAGCTAGCTGGGACTACAGGCATGTGCCACCACTCCTAGCTAATTCTTTCTGTATTTTTAGTAGAGAGGAGGTTTCACCACATTGCTCAGGCTGGTCTCAAACTCCTGGGCTCAAGCAATCTGTCACCTTAGCCTCTCAAAGTACTGGGATTGCACTATGCCCAGTTTAGGCACTTTTTTCAAGGAGTTTGATGCCCAAGTATAAAAGAGAAATAAGGGAGTTAGATCTAGTGAAAATTTTACTTAGGATGAGATTCTGTTCATACATATCACCCATGGGGCATAGTGAGGGGAGAGACTACAGGTGAAAGAGGAAGGAAATAAAATAAAGGTCTCTTTTCCGGAAGATGCCTGACTGGGCTGGATGGGGGTGGGAGGAGTGCAGAAGGTATGCTATCAAGGGCAAAGACAAGGGCAGGCTTTGCGGCCAGGGCTGATCAAATTCTTCCACTTCTATAAGAAACTCTTCTAAAGAGAACACAAAATCATTTTACTCTTCTTATAGGATTTCTAGTTTTCACCCTTATTTCCTTCAGTCCACCCTATTGTCCCATTGTCCTGTATTTATCCAATTGCCATCATTGTGATATCACAACCAAAGGGCTGGGACTCACGCCACCTACAAGCTCATCCCAGGTGCCACTGCTCAACTGTGGGACTTGGAGCAAATCAGCTTCCTTCTATGCTCCAGCCTCCTCCTTAGTAAAATGAGATGGTCGAACTATTCAGGTATTCATTCATTCAGCCAGTCGGTCAGTCATTCTATAAGTATTAAGCGTTTAATAAGCACCCCAGGAGGTTCGAGCTGCTCTCTGATTGTCACCTCTCTCTGATTCTGCTTTGTGTTCCCCATGACTCCTGGGTGGCCCTCACTCTGCTGCCACATGCTGGGTCTCCCAGGCTGAAATTTTCTGTTCCCAAAGAAAACAAGAGGCTCCTTAGGCAGGCCAGATAGTCCCTGCTAGTGACTGGGAAAGGGAGGAGAGTGTATTTGTCCATTCTCACACTGTTGTAAAGATACTAGACTGGGTAATTTAGAAAGAAAAGAGGTTTAATTGACACACAGTCTGCATGGCTGGGAAGGCCTCAGGAAACTTACAATATAGCTGAAGGGGAAGCAGTCACAGCTTACATGGCAGCATGCACGAGAGTGTGTAGTGTGAAGCCAAGGGGGAAGAGCCCCTTATAAAACCATCAGATCTGGCCGGGCGCGGGGGTTCACGCCTGTAATCCCAGCACTTTGGAAGGCCGAGGTGGGTGGATCACGAGGTCAAGAGATCGAGACCATCCTGTTCAACATGGTGAAAACCCATCTCTACTAAAAATACAAAGAATTAGCTGGGCATGGTGGCACGTGCCTGTGATCCCAGCTACCCAGGAGGCTGAGGCATGAGAATTGCCTGAACCCAGGAGGCGGAGGTTGTGGTTAGCCGAGATCGCGCCATTGCACTCCAGCCTGGGTAACAAGAGTGAAACTCTGTCTCAAAAAAAAACAAAAAAAAACATCAGATCTGATGAGAACTCCCTCACTATCATGAGAACAGCATGGGGGAAACTGCCCCCATGATCCAATAACCTCCCACCAGGTCTCTCCCTCAACACCTGGGGATTACAATTTAAGATGAGATTTAGGTAGGGACACAGAGCCAAACCATATCAGAGAGGGAATGATCACTGACAGAATGGCCCACAGCTGTGCCCACTGAACTTTTCCCCTCAGAAATTTTCACGGTACAGAGTGACCTCCTTAGCTTCCATTTGAAGGTCTTGGCCAACAGCTGTCTGAGCTCTTTGAACTGTATGCCCCAGCACCGAGAGCATAGGAGACAAGAAGGCAAACACAACAAAATCCCCAATCTAGTCTTCGTTCCTGGAAGCTTGATTTATAACTGCTATCAGTTAGTACTTAGGGGGGCTACAGAGTGGTGCCCCTCACAACTCTGGCAATAAGGGAAATTTGGCTTTCCTCTGACTGTCAACACTGAGAGTTTGCATAGAGTACATCAGAGCTGCACAGATGCCTGAAAGAGAAGAGGATGCTCAGGTGCATGAATCCTGACTGACAATGGATTGCAAGTAGCAATGCTTCCATTAGAGAAGAAAAAAGAATGGTTCATGATAAGGGGTTTTGAAGTCTGGGAGTAAAAGAAGAGTCACAGCTAGAGACCTCAGCAGTGCCTGTCCCCACAGAGATAGGAAAGGATGAAGCCTTGGCAAGACCTGGAGGTCCCAACTGCCTACAGTCACCTGAAGCTGGGACACAGAGGGCTTGTGAACACAGGCGGCATGCCAGTATCCTGCGGCCTTTGGTTGGACTGGTGTATAATGCCCTACTGCTTCTACTGATGCTGTGAAATGCGTGATTTATCTAGTTTACCCTGATTGTGGTTACCAGGTAACCATCCAAGCCACACTTTGGTTCCTACAAGGCTCTCCCTACAAAGAAATGTATCCAGGCTTTGGAGCTCGATTATTTATTCCTCATTGTAAATTCACAAACAATCTAGTTGCCAACAATCCAGGTTGGCAATCCAGTTCCATACATTAATCTTGCGAGTTTGATAAGTATGAACCAGACCCTGAGAGATCAAAGTACTCTCAGGGCACCAACAAAAGCGGAGTTCTGGCCCACACCCTGCACTGTGTGTAGGCAGTCACCAAAGGTGTTCACCATTGCCACCCAGCAGGTAGTGGCCCTGCCTCAGTGGCTGCACCCCAGCATGGCTTATTTATTGGAGAAATGTCTGAACACTTGGTGTTGGAAGTCACTGAGCTGAGTTTTGGGAATTGGTTTTCTGGTGCCTCTGGCTTTGCTTTCTACTGTAACTTTTTTTTTTTTTTAGATGGAGTTTCACTTTTGTTGCCCAGGCTGGAGTGCAATGACATGATCTCGGCTCACCACAACCTCCACCTCCCGGGTTCAGGGGATTTTCCTGCCTCAGCCTCCCGAGTAGCTGGGATTGCAGGCATGTATGACCACACTGACTAATTTTGTATTTTTAGTAGAGATGGGATTTCTCCATGTTGGTCAGGCTGGTCTTGAACTCCCAACCTCAAGTGACCCACCCACCTCAGCCTCCCAAAGAGCTGAGATTACAGGCATGAGCCACTGCACCCAGTCTCTACTGTAACTTTTAGAGAAATTAAAATAATAGTCCTTTCCTATCTCTTCTCAAGCAAAAAGATGACCTTTGAAAACAGTAAATACGTGCAGGCTGACATCAACCTCTGCAGTCCTGTTCTACCCTTTCCTGCAGTTTTGCAGTCAAGTAGGTTGACTTTAATGAGTGGTTTCCCCTGATGAGGCTGTTCTTAAAATTCAGCTCTGTCTTTGCTCCATGCTACCTAGACATAGGAGCAGGAGAGAACCTCAAAGGCTCTGACTCAGCCAGAGCCTCTGGAGGCAGGTGAGGGCAGCTGGAAGGCAGGTGAGAGATTCAGGTACACAAGCACACAAGAGGTAAGTCCTCCCTAAGGGGCTAGCCATTTGGCGTAACAGGAATCTAGCAGGTTTCGGAGGTTCTATCTTTCTGTCCATTTCTGCTGGTGAGTGTTGTACAGGTGACAGTGTTGTGAAAACGGCCTTTGGGGGAGAGTAGGAGGAAGCTGCTGACCTGTCCATCATTTGTTCACATACCATGTTTAACCATCCTGAGGGGTCCTCCTGGGAGAGCTCAGCTGTATTTATCTCCCACTGAATTGCCAGGTCCTTTCTGGTTGATTAGGGAGAGGGCCGGTTCAGGCCTATATCAGAAACCATCTGCTCTCAGGCCAGAGCCACGTGTATGGAGTGAGATCTCTCAGAGAGGTGGTGGGTATGGTATGATAAGCTGGGAGTGACCCGCCCCCAGCACACACCCTTATTAGAACCCAAGGGAACAGAAGCTCTTAAAGGACCAATATGAGGTAAGTTTGTTTCTCCAGCTTGCTTTGATTGTTCAAAGCATTGTCTGGTATGATTTAGGCTTAAAAGACATTAAACTAATTATCACACATTGTAAACAATCAAGGACATGACATTGTCCCTTGCTTACTAATAGGATATGTTCTTTTTATGTTCTTTATGAGACGGTGTAGCAATGATAGCTATGCTACATAGATCATTTAGAAGCCAGTACTTCCAGGTGTTGTTGAAATAAAGCAGGACTGCTTAAGATTCACTTATGCTAAAATACAGATTCCCAGGGACCACTCCCAGAGATTCTGATTCTGTAGGTCTAAGGTAGGACCCAGGAATCTGCATTTTAGCAACTCTCCTCACCACTACCAACATATCCCCTATCCACATACACATACCAGATGCTTCTGAGGCGCAGTATCAGAGGATCCCACTTTGAGAAAATCTGTAGAGAGAGCACCAGACCTATGATCTGTAGGCTTAGATTTGGGAATAGCTGTGTTGTCTTAAATAAATTCCTCCACCTCTCTGGGTCACCATTTCTGTGTCTATAAAATGAGGGAACTAATTCTTAAGGCCCTTTCCAGGACCAATATTTCAGGATTTCAAGCACATTCCTAATGCCCTCCCTATGGATGTTCCAAATCTTCTATTGTGGAAGCCAAGCCCCAGAGTGAACTGTACCCTAAGGAGAATGGTCACCTGCCTCCCCCATTCAGGATTAGGCCTTTCAGGGGAGACAACGCTACACTCTGATCTCACACAACCCCCTGCTACCTCTAAGTACTTCCTCAAGCACAATCATTTATTTTTGCCTTCCAGCAGAGCAAAGGGTGTAACTCCCTTTATTGAAGGGACACTGATGCAAAGAGAGATGGAAAAGCTCAGAGACATGGAGAGCTCATCTCTCTCCCACTCCTGTGCTTCGTCCTCGAGTCTCCTGCATAACATTGACTCATGAGCAGCTGCCGTCTGTCAGAATGAATGGCAGACCCTAGAGGAGACTTATAAACAGGCCAACCCCTTTTTCTTTCCCATCTTGCGCTGAACTTTCGTTGCATGTACATGTCATAGGAGCAATTTGCGCAGGCCTGGCACAGTTGAGAAGGAAAGCTCTCCTTCTTAAAGGAACTTGGAATCTTCATCCTTTGTGTTTTTATTAGATCTGTTCATCATCCCCTCCCAGAGAAGTAATAACATCTAATGAGCCATAACTTCCTGAACTCAGAGGCTTGGAATTCAGGTGTGAATCACCACGCATGAAGTTACTGCCTGGTTATCACAGCATGAAGAAGAATGAAGAACAGTGACATACAAATAAGAAAAGTCGTTATTTGTGAGACTTGAACTTTGCAGCCCCATTTTACATTCCCCCTTCTCTCCTACTTCTGATTTTGCAAAGAACAGGTCTATGATGATAGCCTCAGCTCTACACACACTTCCCTGGGCTCCCACCTTCTCAGTTGCATACAGTTGTGGCTTTCAGAGGTTATTAATAATCACCTGCTCTGTCTTGGGAAATTCTTGTATAAAATCACAAAATCTAAAAGAAGAAACTGTATGACTCCAGTTTCTGTTTCAATATAGGGCTATTCACACATTTCATCTGTTGGCATCTCATTTCTGTAACCAGAGCCTTGGGGCCACGGCACAACTTTTAACCTTAGAGAGATCAGTTTAGCAAGGAATGAAGCTGTTCTCTCCTCTCTACCTTCTATTGCCTCCCAAACTTGAAGCCAGCACTTCAGAACACTACTGAGAATCAGAAAGCAGTAAAACAGACAAACAAAAAGGGCTGGGAAACAGCCAAGATAGATTTCATAAAGTCTGTGTGTTCTTTGATCTTAGGGAATCCTCTGCTTTGAGCCCTCATGCTGATTATTGTATAAACAATCCCAAAAAGTTAATTTCTAAACCAGTGGTGAATTAGAATGAAAGAGGGTGCTTGAAGGCACTGACAGTATAAATACATGGCAGCCTTCAGGAATGCAAGGCTGAGAAGGCTAGAACTAGATCCTCCGTGTTCAGAGGCAGGAAAGTAGGTAAAATATTCTAGAAATATTTCTATTCCAAATGATTATAATGTAAAAATGTTTAAGAGTTGAAAAGGATAAACCCTCAGCTATCTGAGAAGACTCACTGCCAGAAAGTAGCTATATTTAACTGGCGTTAAATATTTATTGTCACTAACTCAAATCCTTGAAGTCTGCTGGTTAAAAGAATATCAGTGAAAAGTGGAAGAGCCATTTACTTGGAACCCCCTGAGCAGCCTTGGCTAAGTGCATCTTAAAAGTTTTTTTTTTTTTTGAGACAGTCTTGCTCTGTCCCCCAGGCTGGAGTGCAGTGGTGTGATCTCAGCTCACTGCAACCTCTGCCTCCCAGGTTCAAGTGATTCTCCTGCCTCAGCCTCCCAAGTAGCTGGACTATAGGTGTACGCCACCCCGCTCGGCTAATTTTTGTAATTTTAGTCAAGATGGGGTTTCATTACATTGGTCAGGCTGGTCTCGAACTCCTCGCCTCAGGTGTTCCACCCGCCTTTGCCTCCCAAAGTGCTGGGATTATAGGCATGAGCTATTGCGCCCAGTCGGAGGCTTTTTTTTTTTTTAATACTTCCAAAGTTTGGGGAGTTATCTAATATTGCAACAAAACCTGCCACACAAGCCAGACACAGTGGCTCATGCCTGTAATCACAACACTTTGGGAGGCCCAGGCAGGAGGACTGCTTGAGCTCAGAAGTTTCAGCCCAGCCTGGGCTACTGAGAGAGATGACCTATCTACCAAAGACAAAAATAAATATTAGCTGAGAGTGCTGGCGCACGCCTGCGGGCCTCGCTACCTGGGAGGCTGAGATGAGGGGATCTCTTAAGCCTCAGAGGTCCCTGCTGCAGTGAGCCATGATTGTGCCATTGCACTCCAGCCTGGGTGACACAGCAAGACCGCGTCTCAAACAGCAACAACAAAAAACCCTGCCACCCCTCCTAAATATAGTGCTGTCTAAGTGATGGAGGAGAGAATGGTAACACAACTAGCTTTTTGAGAATTTTTGAAACTTCCCATAATCCTTAAAAAAATAACTGTTCTCTTATTATAAATGCGGTGGACAAACATTGTGGAAATTTTAGAAAAAGCAGATTAGAAAAAACAACAAGCTAAAAATCACTGATAATTTCATTCCCAGGAGATAGGACTGTGAGTGCACAATGCATCCTTCCAGTCTTTCATATTTTAAATTTTTTTTCTTTTTTGAGATGGAGCCTCTCTCTTTTGCTGGAGTGCAATGGCACAATCTCGGCTCACTGCAACCTCTGCCTCCTGGGTTCAAGTGGTTCTCCTGACTCAGCCTCCCTAATAGCTTGAACTACAGGCACATGCCACCACACCCAGGTAATTTTTTGTATTTTTAGTAGAGACGGGGTTTCACCGTGTTAGCCAGGATGATCTCAATCTCTTGACCTCGTGATCCACCCGCCTCAGCCTGCCAAAGTGCTGAGATTACAGGTGTGATCTCACCACTGTACCCAGCTATTTTAAATTCTTTTTAATTGAACAAGAGATACATGGCCATAGGCAGTGGCTCATGCCTGTAATCCCAGCACTCTGGGAGGCCAAGGCGGATGGATCACTTGAGGTCAGGAGTTCGAGACCAGCCTGACCAACAGGGTGAAACCTCTATTAAAAATACAAAAATTAGCCAGGCATGGTAGCACATGCCTGTAATCCCAGCTACTTAGGAGGCTGAGGCAGGAGAAACAATTGAACCCAGGAGGTGGAGGTTGCTGTTAGCCAAGACTGCACCACTGCATTCAAGCCTGGGAGCCAAGATTGTGCCACCGCACTCCACCCTGGGGATGGAGTGAGACTCCATCTCAAAAAGAAAAAAAAGATACATAAATACATGTACCTTTTAAACAAAAGTAGATGTCAAATACAAGACTAAATTACCCATTGACCATCTCCCACAGTTCCAAACCCTGCCTTGCTATTTAGGTGTCCATCCTCTCTTGGGAGTTTGATGCATTTCCTTCCAGAATTTCATATACATTTATGTATACATACGTCAACATATATATAATTTCACATATAAACAACATATATATAAGGTATTTTTGTGTTGACTATCGTTCCATTATGTGGATATACCATATTTTATTTGGCCTCTTCACTTTCAGCAGACACTTAATATCATTAACAATTTTTCACTACTACAAACAACACTGCAGTAAACATCTGTGTTTTCCCTTGCCCCATTCCAAATTCCTGTGAGAGAAAATTGTGGGTGTGAGGTATGCCCAAATTGCCCTCACCATTTCATGTATGAAAGCAGAGCATGAACATTCCTGTTTCCCTGCGATCTTGACAACCCTTCACCTACCAGATCATTCAAGGTGGCCAGCAGAGTGTGGATGGTATCTCGCCATTGTTTCCATTAGTGTTTGCCTAATTAATTAGTATTTGTCTGACAAAAAATGTGTTCAAGCATCTTGTTATGTGTTTGTGGCCATGTGTATTTCCCCTTTTGTGAATTGCCTATTTATATCCTTAGATCGTTTTTCTTTTTTCTCTTTTCTTTTTCTTTTTTTTTTTTTTTTGAGACAGAGTCTCGCTCCATCCCTAGGGTGGAGTGCAATGGCACAATCATCTTGGCCCCCAGGGTGGAATGCAATAGTGCAGTCTCGGCTCACTGCAACCTCTGCCTCCCAGGTTCAAGAGATTCTCCTGCCTCACCTCCTAAGTAGCTGGAATTACAGGTGCCTGCCACTGCACCTGGCAAATTTTTATATTTTTAATAGAGACAGGGTTTCACAATGGTGGTCAGCCTGGTCTCAAACTCCTGACCTCAAGTGATCCACCCACCAGGACCTCCCAGAGTGCTGGGATTACAGGTGTGAGCCACTGTGCCTGGCCTTTATCATTTTTCTAAAGCTTTTTTTTTTTTCATTAAAAAATTCATTTGTTTTACTCATTCTTTGCTACATACACTGCAAAGTTTTCTGCCAGCCCTCAGCTTCTCTTTAACATTGGGGTATCTTACTGTACGGTTCCCTTTTTACTATTTGGTTGATAATTATTCACTGACATAATTCAAATGTTCAGCCTTTTATTGAACAAGTTTTGTTTTCTGAGACTTATTTAAGATCTCCAATCCCTCCGGATCATAATATTTTCTTATACATTTTTAGCTAACAATTTAAATTTTTTATATTGAGGGGTTAGGATTTTAATTAATCTATAGCATAATTTTGTGTACCACATAAGGTAGAACTTCGTTTCATTTATTTTGTGTCTGTAGAGTTGATTCTCTCAATACCATTTGTTAAATAGTTCACATTCCTTCACTGGTTTGAAATGTAGCCTGCATTACATTCCATTTTGGTAGTATCGTTTCTAGAGTTTTTTTAGAATAATGTTTTATTGACCTGGTTCTATTCTAGTCTTACAACAAAATGGGACTAATTTAACTGCTCTGCAGTAAGAAAATGTGTGTGTGTGTGTGTGCACAACCTGCTTCTGTCTTATAACCTGATATTTTTACTGAAAAACTGTGACAGGAGAATAGAGCGATTCTGGTAGTTACACAATGGAATACTATATAGCAATGAAAAGAAACCAAATCTTAGTATATCAACATGGATACATTTCCCAAGTAAAGCGTTGAGTGTAAAAAAAACAAATTGTGGGCCGGTCGCAGTGGCTCAAGCCTGTAATCCCAGCACTTTGGGAGGCAGAGGCAGGCGGATCACCAGGTCAAGAGATTGAGACCATCCTGGCCAACATGGTGAAACCCCATCTCTACTAAAAATACAAAAATTAGCTGGGTGTGGTGGCGCACGCCTGTACTCCCAGCTACTTGGGAAGATGAGGCAGGAGAATTGCTTGAACCCAGGAGGTGGAGGTTGCAGTGAGCCGAGATTGTGCCACTGCACTCCAGCCTGGCGCCTGGCAACAGAACAAGACTCTGTCTCAAAAAAAAAAAACAAAAAACAAAAAAAACAAATTGTGTTAAAATGTCATGAAGGGTGCCATTTATGTAAAGCTTTAAAATCTATAAAACAATATTCCACACAGTTTAGAAGTATATATGCAGGCCAGGCATGGTGGTTCATGCCTGTAATCCCAGCACTTCAGGAGTCCAAGGCACGCAGGTCACTTGAGGAATTTGAGACCAGCCTGGGCAACATGGTGAAACTCCATCCTCTACTAAAAATACAAAAATTAACTGGGTGTAGTGATGCATGCCTATAGTCCCAGCTACTTGGGAGGCTGAGGAAGGAAATCACTTGAACCCAGGAGGCCGAGGTTGCAGTGAGCCAAGATCACGCCACTGCACTCCAGCCTAGGCAAAAGAGCAAGAATCTGTCTCAAAAGAAAAAAAGAAAGAAAAGAAAAGAAACAACAAAAAAAAAAACTAAAAGAAAATTCATGCTAATGAGAGAAACCAAAGTCAGAATTAGAGGTAGATTCACCACGAAGCATATAAAGCTTAAGCTCAGATTCCTCAAGTACATGATCCCTTTCAAGGTCCTGTACTTAAATTTGATTTCTTAATTTTGAACTCTTTTTTTTCTTTCTTAAAAAAATGCTGTCCTTTTGAAAAGTCAATTCGTTTCAGGTCTATCTGTACATGGAGGAGGGAAGGAGAAGGGAAGGAAATAGCGAAGAGAAGCAGAGAAGAAAACAGCCTGTTCCAAAATACTGAGAGCTTCTCGATACCATGGTGTCATTGGCTCCTGGGCACCTGTGCCTGGAACTTACACTTGTTGGAAACTAGAGAGTGGGATCGCAGTTGTATTGGACTTGATTCACAGTTCTGCACCTTGCACAGCGCCAGGCCTGGAGGAGCTGGAACAGAAGCCACCTGATGGTGATCAGTTCCCAGGAATGCCATCAGCCGCCGTACTGCACGCCTCAGTCAGTTCTTCCAGCCCTGATAGGCCGTTTACACTATGACAGAGTCCACAAAATCCAACGCTTTTCTAGAGAAGTTCTCCAGGCCAACAGCTGAGTGCTTTGGGGTTAGATCAAGGAGAAACCACGGCACGCGGGAGCCCCAAATTTGCTTCAGTTCTTAACTTAGTCTCATTCTTTTACTGAAAGTTTATACCATTAAAAAAATCAACTAGAAGAAAATAAATAAATGACAGTTACTCCAACATCAGCCACAGAAATACATACCATGAATATCGTTCCATTAAATATTCCTCCATGGCATTTTAATGCTGCATAGCACCATAGTTTATAGACATAGCAAAATTTATGGAACCCATCAAATATTCTTAGACATTTAGATTGGTTCCAGTTTCTACTCATTAAAAGCAATGCTGTAGGAAACAGTCTTACAAGTAAACCCTGACACACAGCCCATTTCTTTGGAAAAAAATTTCCCATCAGTGGACTTCCTTTGTGAAAAAGTCTGAATATTTTCCATTTCTGAGCTACGCTGCCAAATGCACCTCCAAAAAGACTGCATCAATTCACACATATACATCAGTACATCAGTCTGCTTCCTCCAACTGAAGCCAATTCTAGATGCTTGCATTAAACAAAAATACATTGTCCATTGTAGAGACTGAATAGAGCATCTCATAGCTTTGTCATCAGTAACCAGGCTGAATTGCTGTATGTTCACTGAACATCTTTTTCTTCTCTCTCTCTCTCCCTCCCTCTCTCTCTTTTGAGACACACTCCCTCTCTATCACCAAGCCTGGTATGCAGTGTGGAGTGGCCAGCCTCCCGAGTAGCTGGGACTACAGACGAGCACCACCATGCCCAGCTAATTTTTTTATTTTTAGTAGAGATAGGTTTTCACCATGTTGGCCAGGCTGGTCTCAAACTTCGGGCCTCCAGTGATCTGCCCACCTGGGCCTTCCAAAGTGATGGGATTATAGGCAACACTTGTATTTCTTCTTGGTTGACTTACTATTTACCTGGTTTGCTCTGTCTTCTGTTGAGGCATTCCCCTTCCTCATATTAGTAAAAGCTTCTTATCTAGTATATTAACACTTTTCCATGTATGTCGGTAATATTAATATTTTCCTTTCTACTTTGCCAGTTGACTTCACATTTATAATATTTTGAATACAGATACTTTTAGTTTAAAAAATCAATGTTTTTCATTTCAGAGTCTGTCTTCTGTGTTTTTTAATGCCTTTTCCCCAAAGATTACATAAATGTTCACCTGTAGTTTTCCTCAATACTTCCACCATTTTATTTTTGAAATTTATTCTAGTCTAAAGGCTAAGGTGGGCCTCTACCTCTTTTTTTCCCAAAGAGTTCACCATCTCATAAATAAGCCATTCTTTTCCTTAGTGATTTTAAATGGGACTTGTTTTTTTCTAAGGTAGGGTTTTGCTCTGTTGCCCAGGTTGGCGTCAGCGGCGTGGTCAGAGCTCACTGCAGCTTCAACCTCCCAGGTGCAAGCAATCCTCTCCTACCTTAGTCTCCCAAGTAGCTACAGGCATGTGCCACCATACCTGGCTAGTTTTTGTATTTTTTGTAGAGATGGAGTTTCTCTATGTTGTCCAAGCTGGTCTCAGACTAATAAGCTCAAGCAATCCTCTTGCCTTGGCTTCCCAAAGTGCTAAGATTACAGGCATTAGCCACCGCGCCCAGCAGGGACTTTCAATTTTATACTGCATTGAGTCTGTATATTCTTTTGCCAGCACTATGTTAATTATTGGAATTATGGTATATATCATTTCCAGTATTATAGAAAGTCCTCAACATTTCTTTTTTGTTTCCTTTTCTCTTTTTTTTGGTTTCTACATTAGTTTGGTTGTTCCTGCATGTGCATTCTTCCAGAATCATTCTAGCAATTCTACTTTTTTCTTTTTCTCATACTATTATGAGCATTTTTCATATCATTAACATTTTTTTCTTTTAGCCAGGGGTGATGGTGCATACCTGTAGTCCAAGCTATTCTGAATGCTGAGACGGGAGGATCACTTGAGCCCAGGAGTTCAAGGCTGCCATGACTATGATGGAGCCACTGCACTCCAGCCTGGGTAGAAGAGCAAGACCCTGTCTCTAAAAATAAATACTTAATTAATTTAAAAAAAAAAAACAAAGTTTACTTTTTTTTTTTCTTAATCTCAAGTGTAGTCAAGCCAAACTGGATCAGAAGATGATGGCTGGAGAAAAGATAAAAAGTGGGCCGGGCGTGGTGGCTCATGCCTACAATCCCAGCACTTTGGGAGGCTGAGGTGGGTGGATCACAAGGTCAAAAGATCGAGACCATCCTGGTCAACAAGGAGAAACCCTGTCTCTACTAAAAATACAAAAATTAGCTGGGCATGGTGGTGCGTGCCTGTAATCCCAGCTACTTGGGAGGCTGAGGCAGGAGAATTGCTTGAACCCAGAAGGCGGAGGTTGTGGTGAGCCGAGATCGTGCCATTGCACTCCAGCCTGGGTAACAACAGCGAAATTCCGTCTCAAAAAAAAAAAGAGAGAGAGAGAAAGTATAAGGAAATACATATCAAACTAGGCAAAATATTAACTGACTCTTGCTCTAGCCATTTCACAAATGATCAGACCTGAAATTCCTACAATGGGTTCTAAAGCCCTACCACCCAAGGCACAATTCAAACCCTGTGAGTGAAAGGCACGGATGAGATGTAATGAAAATATGGGTAGAGGTGAAAGAAAATACAGGATCCGAAATTAAGAGCAACACAAGGACACATGAAATTAAAACACCTGAAGTAACCTAGAAGAGTCATTCATGGGTTTTGTTTGTTTACTTTCACTCATTTTTCATTTTTGTAAACAAACAAAAATTCTAAATGTTTCTAAGAAGCCACTGACATTCTTTAGAATATCCTCTAAAATAGGTGTAATTTATGGTGTACAGAACTTGTATTTCAGAGAACTACAGAATAGGAGATTCTTAGCATTCATCTCCCTCCCAATGCAGGAATCCCCCTGCAGCAGTTCTCCTGGGGGTGGCCATCAGCCTCTGCCTGGCTACTGCCTTAGGTGACCCCTAACACTATGTTTAAATAGAATTTTTTTGTGTTTAAATAGCTCTAATTATTAGAAGGTTTTCACTAGTTTAGAAAGCCAGAATCTCTCTCCCAACATCCCACCCCTACCCGCCCGACTTCAGCCCTGATTCTACCTTTAGAACCATCAGAGGCCTTCACTGATTTGAGGGTGACTCGTATCTTCCCTGCTCAGTTTATCTTTCACAGGCTTATTGCCCTTGATTCCCTAAACTATTTTTCCTAGGACATAGTTCTAGACCTTTCAACACCCTGGTGTCTCCTCTGGAAACCTTGCAAAATAGCCATTTCTTTTAAATGTGAAACTCAGAAGTTAACATCGTTCTCCAGATTCCATCTGAGCTGTGGAGTAAATTGAGAGACTCTCATCCCTTACTCTGCACTTTTTAAATGAATGCATCTAAGGTTACATTCGTCTCTGAGATGAAGGACTTGGGTTTTAGCCACTATTTGGCCTTGTCAACAAAACAGCTTTTGCTTTTTTTACATAAACTAGAGACCGAATTTCACAGGTAAAGAACTCCCAGCCGGGCACGGTGGCTCACACCTGTAATCCCAACACTTTGGGAGGCCAAAACAGGTGGATCATCTGAGATCAGGAGTTTGAAACCAGCCTGGCCAACATGGTGAAACCCTATTTCTACTAATAATACAAAAAAAAAAAAAATACCTGGGCATGGTGGTGGGCACCTGTAATCCCAGCTACTTGGGAGGTGGAGGCAGGAGAATTGCTTGAACCCAGGAGGTGGAGGTCACAGTGAACCAAGATCACGCCATTGCACTCCAGCATGGGTGACAAGAATGAAACTGTCTCAAAAAATTTTTAAAAACAAACAAAAAACTCCTAGTGAGCTTTGGTGGAGATGCAATTAGGGAGAAGTCTTTTTTGTTTTTTTTTTTGAGACAGAGTGTTACTCTTGTCCAGGCTAGAGGGCAATGGCTTGATCTCAGCTCACTGCAACCTCCACCTCCCAGGTTCAAGTGATTCTCCTGCCTCAGCCTCCTGAATAGCTGGGATTAGGCACCTGCCACCCTGCCCCAAACAATTTTTGTGTTTTTTCAGTAGAGGCGGGGTTTCACCATGTTGGCCAGGCTGGTCTCAAACTCCTGACCTCAGGTGATCCACCTGCCTTGGCCTCCCAAAGTGCTGGGATTATAGGCCTGAGCCACCACACCCGAGCTCTTCTTCTTCTTCTTTTATTTTAGAGTCTGGCTCTGTTGCCCAGGCTGGAGTGCAGTACAGTGGCGCGATATCGGCTCACTGCAACCTCTACCTCCTGGGCTCAAGTGATTCTCCTCCTGTATCAGCCTCCAGAGTAGCTGAGATTACAGGCACCCACCAATACACCTGGTTAATTTTTGTATTTTCAGCAGAGACAAGGTTTCACCATCTTGGCCAGGCTGGTCTCGAGCTCCTGATCTCAACTGATCCACCCATCTCGGCCTCCCAAAGTACTGGGATTACAGGCGTGAGCTGCCAGTTCTGGTGGGAGAAGTCTTCAAAGCCAAGGATAGAACAGAAAAGCCCCTTCCATGTAAAAATAAAGAATCGGGTTGTGGAATCATGAGTGCTGTGAAAGTTTCCATGCCTAGGGAAGGCGGATGCCTACCTGTCAATGAAGAAACCCATGGATGTGTCACTCTTGGGGTGTCTTGTTCTAGAGACTAGTCTGCACTGGCAGACAGCATGTGATCATCATGCCTCAGCAACTTTTCAGTCTTGCTTCCTGTTTCTCAGGATTCATTGGGAACTGCGGGAGTTCTAACTGCTTAAATTTCTGTCTTGTGTATGCCAATGCACGTGCCAGCCATGCAAACTGGAAATTAACACTCAAGACCCCAGTTACTCTGCATCTAGTATCCTCGGGTCCTGGAGAGCTTTAGCCAGCCCCTCCTGGCAGCTTCTCTCTAGTCCACAGCACAGAGAGCCTAACTCCCGGATGCTCTTTCCTACCCTATGAAGCAAATGCTGTCAGCACCCAGGCTGGTTTTGCACGTGGACAGGAGGCTGTGGTGAGTCCACCCTTGGAGCTAGAGACCTGAGTAGACCATAGCAGAGGGGCCAGATTAAGAAATTAAAGAAATTGCAGCCTCCATAGTTGCATCTGATCTGTCCTCTCCTGCTGTCTCCAGTCTGGAAATATCAGGAATATTAGCAAATCAGCCCTGTTGAAATTCAGAAGGAGGTCTACTTACAGAGCTATGCCTGTCAATTTCATTGTTGTTGTTACCCTCAATCCTGGCCTGATCACAGCGAGCTGTGTTAGGAACTAAACCCTCACCTTGGTGGGAGGGAGGAGCAGGTAGGGGCGGGTGGAAGTTCCTAAGGCTTCTGTTGGCAGCAGAGGAGCATGGGAATCCTAAGGGCACTAGGATCTTCCCCAGCCACAAGGAAGTTTTTTCAACATGTTCACCGTCATTGGGCTCAGCCCCCTTCACCTCCAGGGGAGGCTTTGTTTTCCATAATCTCTCTTTTAGAATGTAAAAACCATTTTGGCTTCAATTGCCTATATCTCCTTACACTAGTAAACTTCCTGGTAAATTCAGTCACAGAAGAAATACAAAATGACCTGCTTTGTTTTTTGCCCACAAATAAGGCAGCAAGAAGGTGTCAGAGAAGTACTTTCTCTTTCTTTGGTTCATCCAGCGTGAAGGAAGGTCTCCTTTTGCAAAGTGTACAGCGGTGCACAAGGCCAGGGTTATAAAATAGATGGGTGGGGTGGAAAGGGTGTCAGCACCCTGCATTCTGCCTGGAACCCAGGCTCAGCTGGGTGGCCCTGAGCCTATGACTCCCCAATGCAAAGATGTGACTGGGGAGAAGAGATCTGCTCTGGGCATCTTACCTCTCCTTCCTCCCCAAACTCCAGGAAGCCCTAGGGTGGGGGCAGAGTTGGGAACCAGTCACAGTCCAAGCCCCCTTCCCTTCCCAGCTTAGCCTCCTCTATGGCTTGAGAGCACTGCTGAGTGGTTACCTTACTGTTAGGTAACTTTTCACCTGTACCAGTCTCACCTCTCAAAACTCAGCTGCATCTCTCATGACTGACCCTGTGGCTTAAGATGAAAAACAACCATTCTTGAATGAATGAATGCCTCTTTACTGCTCACTCCACAAGTTCCTTAGGAGAGGCTGGGCCCTTAAGGGGTATTTCCCCAGACTAACTGAAACTAGCAAAGCTTTTTTGAATGCTGCAATAGAGTTGGATGTGTCTTTCTGCTCTACTCTGAATCTTTGCACTCTGGATTGGAATATCCCTGCAAAGGGCATTGATAAACTATCTAGTGGTACATTATGTATCCCCTCCCTTTTCTATTTTAACCTTTTAGCATGGAAAATTGCAGGCAAATACAAAGAGAAGAGAGAACCTATATATATTCACCACTCAGATCTAACAAATTCAACTTGTGGCTAATTAGGTATCACTAGTACATCATTCATTCATTACTGCTCCCCCAAAAAGAATTATTTTGAAGCACACAAAACAGGTCATGTCATTTTATCCTTAAGCTACAAAGTGCGTCTCTAAAAGATAGTAACTTTAGTTTTAAATCCTCCATGCTAGGATCTTTGAAACAAAGACTCGAGGCTGCTGACTCCTTTGAGATGACAGTCAGCACTCTACACGACATCACTCCACAGGAACACCAAAGTCTTGCTTTCTGCCTACCCATCCTACAGCTCCCCTCCTCCCCCCATTTCCCAGTACCTTGCTCTCAGGGCACTGGCTACTCAAGAGAGGTGGAAACTCTGAAGCCAGATTGGCGTAGACAGAATCCGAGCTCCACTGCTTCCTAGCTCTGTGACCTTGAGTAAGATGCTTCACCCCTCTGTGCTTCAGTGCCTTCATCTAAAAGCTAAGTTAATTAATAGTGCCTACTCACTGGGTTGCCATAGGATTAAAATACATTGAAATCATGTGAAGCAGTGGAACAGCCAGACAATGGAATATTACCCAGTGTCAAAAAGAAATGAGCTATCGAGCCACAAAAAGGGATGAAAGAAACTGAAATGCATATAAT